GGTGGGGGGGGGGGGGGGGGGTTGTTTAAGTAGCTCCCGCTGCCTCTGGGGACCACATAATCTGAGGAGCCCTTCCTGACCCTTAGCTGACCTCTGGGATCTCCTCAGAACATGGAGGCAGGACCCTAGCTCCTCCGCCCAGGTCTTGCTGGGCTCATGGAGGAGTACCCAGCCCAGGTTGGGTGAGGAAGAGCTCTGTAGAGCGAGGACCCAATGCGGGAGCCAGCACAGAACAGGGAAGTGACCTGTCCAAGGCCACAGCTCCCAGGCCAGACCTGGCCCAGGTCTCCTGCTTCCCAGAGCCCGTTCCTCCTGCTGCACTGAGGGAGAAGGGTGCAGGGAGAGGCCCTTGGAGTCCACGACAGACAGAAAAGTCACTGCTCACTTCCTCACTACAAGCTGCCATCCCGTCCCTCAGCTCCACATCTGCCGCAGCGGTGGGGGCAGAAGAATGAAACCCCTCACTCCACGACACCACGCTTGGATTCAGGGGGACCACCTGCCCCCGATAGCTGAAATCCATGCCTTGGACATAGGAAACAGTAGGTAACCTCGTGTGTCACCGGGCCTTCCCAGGGCCCGGACACGGGCACACGCACCTTCACCTTGCCCGTGCTCTGGAGGATGTGCACCAGGGCCGACGCCATCTCCTCCTTGGTCTTGGCGCTCAGGATGGGCTCGAGGGCTGCGCAGAGCCCCAGGTAGTGGTTGGTGATGTGCTCGGCAAACTCCTTGTACATCTCCATGGGCAGGATGCTGATGGTCTGGTAGCGCGCCTTGATGCGGATCATGGGTCCGGGGCCCTTGCCGCCCTTGGGGTTGGGCGTCATCACTGGGTACCACTTCTCCACGAACTGCCGCCCGGCCACCGAGGCGGCGGGCAGGCTCACCAGGCCCAGGTAGCTGTTGCGCTCCTTCTTCTTCTTCTTGTCGGTCTCCCGGTAGAGGTGCACGGTGACGGTGCGCAGGGGCGGCAGGTTGTGGAACTCGAAGTGCTCGCCCCAGAAGACGTTGTCCGTCTTGAGCTTGCCCGTGGTGCGGGCGTAGAGCACATCGTCCAGGCACAGCTCGCACAGGTACTTCTTCTTGGCCGGCAGGTCCTTGGCCTCGATCACCCACAGCTTCAGGATGTGCTCCACACGCCGGCTGTTGTCCTGCATGTGCACAAGGTGAGCCGTGGTCACTGAGGGGCCAGCCACCTGCCCACCGCCCGGCCAGGACTAGGGGAGCTCTCAGATCCAGGAGAGCCCTAGAAGGTGTGGGGATGGGCCAGGCTCCGACAGGATGGGGCAGGGGGAGGGACAACTCTGGAGTCTGGTGGCCACGAGGCTGGATCTCTGCTCTGCCTCAAACGAGCTCACTGACCTTGGGCAGGTGACTTAATCTATGACTCGGTTCCCTTTGCCATAAAATAGGAACAAATGGTGAGAGATCAAGTAAGAGGTGAGCACAGTGCTTGGCACCGCAGGTCACTGTGCTACGTGTCAGGCCTTCTAGTTTGCTGGTCTGTAAGTCACTTAAGAGGGGACCACTGCTAAGGCCCCTCCACAGTGATGTCATGGTGACCAGGCTCAGCCCAGGTCCGGTCAGCCGGGGGGCAGACACAGAAGCAAGTGATTAGAGTTGGGGCCCATGAACCTGATGGGGGAAGCCCAGGGCAGTGGGAACACAGAACAGGGCGCCAGGTTGGGCCAGCGGTGCTCACTGGAGGACGGGACAGAGGTCTGAGCTTGAATTGGATGGGTGGCCAGGAATCGGCCAGGGGAGGAGAGACAAGAGGTCCAGGCAGAAGGCCAGCAGCACCCAACTCCCTAACAGCCCATTCTCAGTTCTCTGGCCCAGCCTCCGTGGTGTAGCTTCGAGGACAGAGGCCCATAGCACCTGAGTCGGCCTGGCCACCTCGAACCCCTGTTCCAGGGCCCGACCCTACTGCCCACTCAGGCCCCACCCGCACAGGCTGCCCCCGCCCCCACCCAGCCCACCCCAGAGTTCCCACTGTGCTCCCTGGTGTCAGAGTCTGCACGCTACTCCGGGTCTAACCGCAATCCCCGGGCTTTGGTGAGAGGGGACGCAGCCTACCTTGTTGGGGTGCACTGCTCGCCGCAGGTTCTCCATCCACTTATCCCGCTCGGCTGCTGACCGGCAGGAGAAGCACTTGCTTCCTGACGATGTTGTCACCTGTGGGGCCAAGTAGGACAGTGTCACAGGGGGGGAACACAGCGAGGGACAGGGCAGGACAGAAGACCTCTGGGGTCTGGTGCTTGAACCACCAGGTCTGCAGCATTGCCTTGGGAGGGGGCAGAGTGAGGCTCAGAATGGCCTGTTTCCCATTGGCAGGTGGTGCCGTGAGATCACTGTCCCAAGTGGGTGACAGGGTGGCCCAGCCCTGACCATCTGGCTCCTGGCCCTGGCTCCTCTCCCCGTTCCTCGGCATCCTTTGTCCACGGGAAAGTATCTTTCTGACTCTAACCTCACTCTCCAAGGATGGGAAGAGAGAAGGCACAGGGTACCTGCTCCCTCTGTAAGTGGACACACCCTGGGCAGGCACAAGGATCGCCTCCGTCCTCAGCTGACACTTGCTGACGGTTATCTTTTGCCAAGTGACAGTAACAACGATGGTCACAGAAACTTAACATTTTTAGGGGCCAGACTGGAGAAATGAAAACTGTCCTGGTGTGCTGGGCCTGGGGTCCTCCTGCCTGGAACCCGTATCCTCCCCCGCCATCGGACTCTCGCTCCTCCTCCAATTCCCACCGGGGAGGAAGCCCAGCCCAAGCAGCTCCTCCTCTTCCACTGCCCCCAGCACCATGCTATGGGCTCGACAGAAGGGAACCAGACTCCTTATCCAGCCACTCAAGGGCCGGCACAAGCCGTAGCACCCACTGTGGACCAGTGCCCCGTCATCAGCCTGTCCCAGGCAAAGAAGCCGGAGCCCAGCTGGAGCCCAGCTGGACCAGGAGTCTTGATGCAGAAACAATGGGCACAAGG